CTCTAGTCTTATACTGCTAAATTAGGGATGGCTAGCGCAGATAGCCCTCGTGTAGCTTTGTGCGAAATTCAAAACAAACAAACAAATCTTCAGTACTTGTGAGATAGGGCATACTTGTTAAGTGTATCTATTTATAAGATTTGATTTAATCTGATTATTCAATTACTTTTCAGCATGAACTATAGTATTTAAAAATTCTGCCTTTCTGAATTTGATAAAACAAAGAGAACCTTATCAGATATCATATTGTTAAGTCTCTGTTCGTTTGTTAATTTCCCGTAGAAATTCTTCCTGAGAAACTTCAGCGATACAAGTCCTTTCTTAAATAAAACTAGTTTATTCTTTCTCAAAACAACTTTGCAATACTCTTCATTTCCACAGTTACTTTAACTTAAATACACGCTATAATTCACAATGAACGATTCACACACTTTACTTACTACCGTGCTTGACTCAATTGTCCGTTTCTATCTCTGCCTGTCTGCAATTCTATTCTGGTTCATTGTCTTGCGTACTTATATACAAGAATAGAGGGCACCTAGCAAATACTGGTTTATTCGTGATGTTCCCCGATCTTTCTAGAACTCATTATGTGTTACCAGCATCACATGACTTCCGCTGTCGTAACAATATCAATACCATGATAATCAAATTAATTTGTAAACAAAAGAGGGGATATTATTAACACAGACAACACGAAGTACACAGTTCATTCCTTCTTAAAAAGAAAATTTTGTTCAGTTTTGCTATGTACATTAATGTTTGAAATCCACTGTCTATATTCATTCCATTCTGTTGATACCATCCTTGGTTGGATATAGTTTTGCTTTTCAAAAGTTTATGAACTGTCGAATATGAATATTCAAATTATTCTCATAAGTTGACAGAGGGATGTAACTGTCGTTCTGAATAGGATAAGCATGAGATGAATTAGGTGCTTCTTCACATTGTATAATAGTAGAGGAACTTAACTGTAGTTTTTTCTGTTTTAGTGATTTTTTTTCACTGCTGTATTTGCACTTTTTTGCCATTTTCTTAATTCCAGCAGCATTTCTTTTATTTCCAGCAGACTAAAATATAATATAGCTGGTAATATAATGAACATGACTGCTCATAAATCTAATTTCTGTGTTTCTTTGATTTAATAATGTTTGTTTTCAAAGAAATATATGTAACAATATACTTGCATTTAAATGCTGGTTCATTGTTGTGATTATTGGCGGTGAAGGAGACAGGGTATTTATATTTGAAAAGTGACCCAGATTTGACTGAACTTTAGACTATTTTTTGTACATATATATTAAAAATTAGGATTTTTATAGAAAATATATAAGATTCTTTGTTTAATTTTCAATCCACCAAAGTGTTATTCAGTAAACTGATAGATTTATGTCACGTATTTATAAATTGAAATTAAATGTGTATTGAATTGTCGAAAATGATACTTATTACACTGGTGATAGTGATTTAACTATTGATATTATATAATTAAGGCTATTCATGTACATTATTATTTTCTTATGTAATAATGATTTGTCATATGCCTTTACATTAACGCAGTACAATTTTTACATTCCACAATAGGTGTTAAACAAGTCAAATAGTATGTACTGTTTTGTGTTACAGTTCCTGGTGTGACGGGGGTTGCAATGGTCCTTGTCCTCTGTTTGTTGTGTTCTTCTTCAGTGTCACATGTCAGGTATGTTTAAAACAAGTTAGTTGCTCAGGAGATGTAGGGTTTGCAGGAAGATATCATGTTATATTCAATAATGTTCGTTGAATTGAGTTTTGAGAAAAGATCGACTCTGCTCCAAACTGCCACAAAGGACCCAAACAAACACTAAAAAAGCCATTAACATTTTATCAAATATAATAGTTTTATTTGTAATGGGTTGCTTGAAGAATATAAATTTTCATTGAAGTCAGAGACAGATCTTGAGTGTATAAATATACAAGTTTTGTGAATAATTATTTGTACTGATATAAGATTTTAATCATTGCATTTTACTGTCACAGATAGGGTCTAGGATAACCAGCTGGTTAGAATGCTTAATTTGCAACTTGCGGGTCGTGGAATCGAAACTTGGTGCAGAATATACTCGCCGTTCCCTCCTTGGGGAATTTATAATGTGCCAGCCAATTCCACTATACACTGGTAAAAAGAATTGGTAGTGAGTGTTGCCGGCCAGTTGCCTTCCCTCTGGTTAACAGCTCAAAATTTGGGGCAGTGGCGGGATAGCCTTAGTAGCTTTACCATAAACCAAACAGTCACATGCATCATAACAGCATCGGTTATAGCTGCACAGATGAATGATACATAGATATAAGTTTAAAACATACCCAAAAAATTGTATGTATCATGATGTAAAGTTAACATCGTAATTAAACTAAATATTTTTAGTAATTTTTATTAAAACCGTAAATTTGTGTTTGCATTTAAGCACACATAATACGTATTCTTTTAGCCTGTTGACTTAAACTGTAAACGCTGATACCCTACATATATTTTTTCCTCCCTCCCCACAACGAAAATATTTCTGTGGGCACCCATGGATATATATAGGTTGAAATGTGGATATATATATATATATATTATAGTATAATATCGTATTCTTCATTTATTTAATGATTTTGAGCTATAAATATATGTTTTTGTGGATAACAAAGTTTGTCTTTTAAAATTAAAAAAGTTGTATTTTATTTCTAAAACCTTGTTACATTGGCAAATTCATTACTGGTTGATTCAAGCTATTTCTATCTTATTGTGTCATTAGGTTCTTTTTGTTTTTTTAAAACTAACTCTAGGTCTTAAAATAAGAATTCTGTTTAAATCAGTCACTTTCATCAAGAATATTAGATTCTCCAGAGGGGAGAAAATTAAAAAAAACGGTATTGAATATGTTGGAAGTGGCTATTGAATATGAAGTAAATGTTTACTTTATTTGTTTGTACTTAAGCGCAAAGCTTTTCTGTATCCACCATGGGTATCGACCTGGCTTTTAGTCCAGTCAGCCTACGCAAAAACATACCTCAACATCAAACAAATTGCAGCAGAAACAATTCTTTGATTTAATGTTAGAGACATGTATTGCAAAGTTACACAAGAAAGTCTAGAAAAATCTAAATGGGGGAAATGCATAAAAATTTTCATTTTCCTTATTAACATATGTGATGAAAATAGAACAACTTGATTTGATATATGCAATCATATACTCTCATTATACACTCGTTCTGTTGATATATGAATAAAAATATACAAATAGATAATATATAATAGTTAATAAGATGAACCCAGTTAAATGCATTTTAACTGAAGCCCAAATTAATGATTATTCACCTCTTTAACTTATATCTATTACCCCACCCATCAAAAGAAAATATATAACAATATTCTTTTAAATGACAGCCACATCTAGAAAATGAGTATACAAAATGAGACTTAACACACACACATCTTTCTATAAACATTTGCTATATCTAATCGCCAACGTTGTATTACTTGAATTAATACACAAACCAGAACCAGTTATGTTGACATTGCGGCATTATTAAGATATATCGCACATTGATTTTAATATAGGATTAAATTTGTTATGTATTTCCTTTACAACCGGAAGATCCTATCTTGAAGCTGGCACATTGTCCTCTTTATATTGTATCTTCTAAGTATCTTCATTTATGTCAGTTTCCGTCAGTTGTGTTACATTTGTACAGTTAACACTCCCTAGATTCTCCACAGCCTATAGAACACTCAAGTCCATGCTTCCTACATCAACAATGTTTAGTGTCATAATTCGCTTTCCAGTTGCATTTTTTAATTTTTAATAGGCTTTCTGGAGCTGGTGGTAAATCTGTCTTAACTGGTAATAAGTTATTGCCTACAACTGACCATCCCCACTCTTGTGGTAACATTTTGTCATTCAAGTCGATCCATGTTTGTACTTGAAAATAGACCCTCATGCTGTGGTATTGTGTGGGTGCGGATGTAGGAGGAAGTGTATGTACCTGTATGTGTGTTGTGCTTGAAACTACTTTTTGTGCAATAATCCAATCCCTCAATTGGAACTCTGCCATACAGACATATAAGTGCTTGTTCTCTGGCTTTTTGTATTTCATCTCTTGTTTTACCCTGATTGCAAAACACTTCTGCACTCTCCCTTAAATGTTGGTCATATCCTAGTTTTTTAAGTGCTGCCCCTTTTCCAATTCCATAAATGCGAGATGTTGTGTCGCAACCCATCAAAGCATGAATGAACAGCATATAGTGACAGGTGTTTGCTCCAAGTATCATCTCCGTTTGTCAAATGTCCCAAATTCTCACCGCTTTGTACGTAGTCTGTTTCCCTTCAGAAAAAGATATAACAGTTCTGAGTATTAGCGTGATAGTATAGCAATAGGAAAAGATCCATGTCTTCGCCGATCACCATTGTTTCACGAGTTTCTGCATAAGCAACAGCAGTCTTGACTATTAACCCGATGACTACCAGTACTAACTTTCTTAGTAGGCTATGCAAGTGTGCATTTGTGAATTGAAAAAATGATAGAGAACTTATCTTTTAATGGTCTTTCTGTATTTTATTTTTATAAATTAGTAGCTAATTAAAATTTACTAATTTATTTAGTAACTAAAATTGTATTTCTTTAATTAGTAAGTTTAAAAGGTAATTTAATAGTAAAA